GGCCTGTGAGAGGGTAGATACAGTATTTGTCAACCAGTCTTTCAACTGGTATTATCACATTTCATTTAAAAACTAGCATTCACTGAGTTCCTCAAAACACACAAAGTCTGTGACAGAAGGGGAAAATAAAAGCTTCAATTTTCCCAAAGCCCATGCTAACTTCTTAACCCATCAACTTTTCCTCTGTTACAGAGGAGACACGGTCCTTCTTTACATCAACATCACCTTCTCTTACTGGAGCCACAAAGAATAAAATCCACCTCAATTGCCCTCTCAACTGTGATCTAAAATTCCAAGGTATAAAGGGGTTAGTTGTAAGAAAAAAAAAATTAACTTTTTCTTCAAAAGAGAAAAAAACCCAAACCAAACATAAAATCTTCCTGTTCATTTCTCATTTAACATGTACACTATTTTAGGATTCTCCTCTAAGATTCTTCATTGTTCTTATAGAACCGAACGGCATTTATCACAGATTAGGACTCAATTGTCACACTAGGCACTTATAATTTAAATTTCTATATAAACATCTACATAAAATCCCAGATTTCACTGTTGAGAGCTGAGTACCTTAATAGTGTAAGTGCTCACTGCAGTTAGAAAAAAAATACATACCTTTACATTGTTATGTCAAAATTGTGAGATCTAAGAAGGGGTTTGACAAAGGCAAAAAATGCTGAGGAATTATAGCTCAAGGCTGACTTGAAACCTGAAACTAATATGATTTGCTACAAGCAAGAGGTTCTTTCTTTCAGTGCTGTGCAAAGATGGAAGAATATAACAATTCTAGAAATACAGTGACCCAATCTACAAAATATTATGGGTTGTAGAATGACCTCATAAAAATAGATATTTATTGTTTTATTTCAATGCTGTAAGGTTATAAGTTATTGATTCTTACAAGATATAATCAATTAACACTTTTCTGCTGTTTATCTCATGAACCAGAAGAATTTTGTGTTTACTTTGGTACAAACTATTTATTGAACATTTATTCTGTTTTCACTATGTCAATTTGTCATTGCACGATGATTTAGGGAGAAGTTAAGATTTCAGAATTTGGCTGAGTAGCAAAACTATGAAAATACAACTATCATAAATAATTTTATCAAACTTTCCATTTCATTACTTCTTTCTCCCAAACTTCATATTTTTCAGTATGTGGTTGAATTCCCCCTAAGACAAAATAGCAAAATGGACATGAGAGTCTGTGTCATAATAAAATCATTTTGTACTAAGAAAATTTTTCCATTAAAAAAAAAAAAGAGAGATGTATTTTAGTAATGGTTTAACCAACCATATTTTTTCCGAGCAGTCAGTAACTTCAATGCAGTTAAACACCACTTTAAATTAATCTGTTGATTTATTGATCACAAATTAGTTTGGTAGTAAATGTATGTCTATGAAAAATATAACAAAAAACTACTAGCAATTAAATGCAGTATGTCATGCAAGCATTAAAGACAATACTACTACAACATGATACAAGTTCTATTAGGAGAAATAAGAGCTACAATTCTATTTAACTATAGTCCAGTTGTCTCGGGCACTTACTGGTCAGGAAAGGTGCAACATCCTCTCTTGAAATTCAAGTACTTTTTTTTTTTTTTTTTTTGTCAAACTCTTTATGATATAACAACTTTTCTGGTTCCAGTTAAAAAGTAAAATAAAAAATGGCAACAGCATCATCAACAGGGAAAAATATTAAGCCCTTTTTAAAAAATGAATCAGGTGCAGATATTGAACTGTACTTTTTCATCCTTTGTCTCACTTTTCAAATGATAATTTCTTCCACAGTCACCATTAAATCTTGATCTATTCCAGCTCTCTGTATGGGTCATTGATTCTAGATGTACCATGGTTATTTTTAAATGTTTCCCTTTCGTAGAGAAAAAGAGGGCTGTCTAGAGCCAGATGGGTAACTTCACACTTCATTTATCAAACCAAATGCATTAGACTCCACCCTCTCTTTCCCACTATTGCTGTTAAATTTCCATATAATTTGGTAGCAATTTTCATTATCATACAGTGACCCCAAAAAGTCTATACAGGTCTGCATGGTTAGTCCAAAATTCACAGCTGTTCCCTTCACCGTCTATTTGTTACAGTAGAATCCAAGGTTCCCCTCACTTTATAAGGTGAACAGTGACCTTCTGTAAGCAGAGGTCAAGAAGGGGTCAGTTCAAAGGGCTAGAGCAGCTCTTTAACAGCTATAACAACCTGTCCATCAGGCACTATCACACAGTATAAACAAATCTGGGGCTTTAGAAACTCTGGACCATTTCTGTTAACACTCAGAAGACATTCACTGAGTCCTACCTGAAGTATTTTGGATCACTACCACTAAGAGAACAACTTGAATCCCTAGAAGACCTGCTCAGATACTTGAGATACTGATGACCTCTTTGCCTCAAAAGTATATGAAATGCTGAGCTGCAACACTTAGCGCACTGCCACGTGTTTTGGACTGTGGAGCTGAAATAAAATCTCAGAGTAATTTCACTTCATTAATACACATAAACACTGGTACAACATTAAGCAAATAAGACAAGGGCATGCTTTAACCTTTTAGATACATATCAAAACAGTCCATATGCCTTTCTCTGAGAAAGGCTATATTTCTAAAAGTTCAATCAGTTTGTATAACCAGTTCCCAGCATGTCATTTCAGGTGTTAATGACACAAATAAAACACCAGAAAGAACAGAATGACTACAAAACTCTACAAAGACCAAATATAGAGTAAAGTTTTTTTTCAGCTGCCCTCACTTCATTGACCTAAATTTCTTGAAGTTGTACTGTTCATAATCTGCTCTCTAATGCACAATGTAAGGTAATTAGAGTCATCTGTATTTAACTTCCACAGGAAAAAAAATTCTATTATCTAATCTAGCTGATCCCCTGATAGCCTGTTGAAAGTAAAATACTGTAACCTATTGCCTGCCCTTTGACAAGTGCTAATTATTTCCTGTCCAAGCACATTTTTCTCATGTAATTCCAAAGTACACAATAGACTGATCTCTAAAACATGAGCAGCCCTGCTTGTACCACGGCGGACGTTTTATAACTTTCACCACCATGTGCTCGATGGCTACCACAGCCAGTGTTTCATTCCAGACATGGAGCAGGAGCTTTGATGAAGTAAAGTGGGGTGTATGGTAACAGCCTGTTTATGCAGATCATATGGATGAGACTCTCAGATAGGTCACTGGAATGGGAAACATCAAATAGAAAGAAAAAGGATTATGGATATTTAATACTCAAAGGACACTTTCTTTCAGAACTTTCAAGGCACAATGCTCTTGAAATTTTCTTTCAGGTGTTTAGTTTTAAGAAGGCCTGCACTTCATCTGCTTGTGCCTCTCCCCATCCCCCCAAAACTGTAGCACTGCTGTGTCAGAGACGAGGCTACAGCTCCAACTGCAGCCCTGGCTCCAGCCTTGGAGCACTCTGAGCAGCAAGCAGAGGCCAGAAACACTGAAACCCACCCAACCTTTAAATTACCCCCAATTGCCATGATTTGTGATGACTTCATATGTTAGGGAATTATTGTTAAAACTAAAGGAACAGTAAAATTATATTCCACTCATTAGAAACTTTCTTTTCTGGTTCACAACAAAGATGCACAGGTCCCAGAAAAGCCTGGAGTGATTTCCCTGTCTCTGATGTAGTCAAAACGTTTGCATTATTTAACAAGCAAAGTGAAAGGTAACCCCTTAACCCAAAAAAAAAAACCCTCAAACAACTCAAAACTCCCTAAATTCCTCAAAAAAAAAAAAAATCCATGTGATAATATGGACAACATTTTACTCTGAGATCTTTACTAATATACAAATAAATCTTCCACACTCAAAAGAACGCAAACTTACAAAACAGCTTCTAATTTGTAAAATAATTACATGTAATAATGCTTATATTTTATCTAAAGCTTCTAAAATATTTCAGATCCACTCACTGTAACTATCTGGAACAGCAAAGACACTCAGGTGTCAGACTCAAAATCAAGAGATTGCTTTTAAAAGCAATCTCAGAATTTTCAAGAACTAGAACGAAACACAAAAGAGTTTCCTTACAAAGAATATTTACTGCAGGTAAAAAAAAATAAATGCCAATTAAGGGTTAAATCTCATTTACAAAAACTACAGCAAAAAATACTTTTCACTAAAAACTGTATTTAATTATAAATAAGAACAGCTGGTTTAAAAGAAAAGCTGTGTATTTGGTAGAAAAATATTGTAGACTGATAGATACTTAATGCAAGTGTCATAAATAAAAAAAATAATAAGAAATTATGAAATTTGTATACATCTTTTAGATAAATAGCTTTTAGAAATAGATGTGAAAAGGGGTGACATCAACTCATTTAACAGCTAAAGAGAAGGACACAATGGTGGAAATTCTCTATCACCTATTTTTGAACAAACTAAAAGTACAGTGGTAGCTGTAGCTTCTGAAGTGCATTCTGACTACGTTCTGGTAACAGACCTTTCCAAATAGAAACATAAACAACTCTGTAAAATTGTTGACCTTCTCTGTTACCACAGCAATGACTCCTATTAAGATCTACACATAATAAAACAGTCATAATATGAACTCCAGCATCCAGTTATGCCCATCTCACCCAACACAACCCAGTAAACACCAGCTGGACACCACAGGAAAATGGCAGGATCACGAAAAAAGCAGACAAGCAGTGTGTCCATTAGCATAGCATGCCAGCAAAGAGCATTGCTCATATTGTCAGCAATATATGGAAAACCTCAGGGCACTTGAGGTGGCACCAATCCTCAAATATATATATATGTTGCCTGAAGCTATTATCAATGGCCTCCATTACATGAGCACAGTAAGGGAGCAGTCTACCCCACAAAGTGACTCTGAAATCAGAAGCAGAAACATTGACTATTCCATTCAAGAAATTACTATTTGAACAGTGAAAATTTTGAAAATTTGTTGAAAATGTCAAATTGCCCCTGCAAGGGGATTTATAGGAGTGTTTCTCACCTCACAGTCCATTCCTTACGCAGCCTTTGTCGCTCCTTAAGGACCAGCAGGAAGCAGTTGATGATTTCTTTCCTTTGTTCCTCAATTTGTTGTTCTTTTCTAACTTCAGCGAGGACCAAACTTGTCTTTAAGGGAAGAAACACATAAAAATTATAATCTAGAAATAGGAAACAATGTGTAAAATTAATAAAAAGCCCATAAGCAAATAAGGACAGTAAATCAATAGCTTTTTTTATTACGGTTCCTCTGCTGACAAATCAATAAAGTAAATGATGGTTAGAAATGGCCACCATATATTTGGTATTTAATCAATATACATGGCATATAAGGTAAACCTTAAAATCTCATTGCCTTAAGTATCACAACAAGACATTGTGCATTCTAGGCATAATTTTCTTGAGGCGTAGTTCTTTTCTAAATATTATCTGAGATCAAATCATATCAGAAGCATTTTCTTCAATACATTTGTTGGGGGAATTCCCCCTTCCCATTGCTCTTTGGTAAAGCTAATGAAGAAAACACCTGTTTTTACTGTATCTTCTGAAAGGAATACCTGATAATGTCCCCACGTTCTCTTTATCATTAAATCTTTCAGTTAAACAAATAGCAAAACATTTTCACACATAGAATAAATTAAAAACTGTTAAAAATATACATATCTATAAATGTAATTGATTTAAGTAATCTGTACAGTATGATGACACTCAGTCTCTGCAGACTGAAAGTTATGGCCTTCCCCAGTGTTGTGTTGACGGTTAACATCGGTGTAACAAAACCACAGATCTTCTATCATCCTTCAGCCAGTCAGCAAGCTAACTCTAAATCCATCACTCCATCTCTGCCTTCATTAACTCACCCACCATTTTCTCCCCTTCTCTCCCCCCTACACTTCCCCATCTCTGCCAACTTGGGAAGGACAGAGCACCTCCTGACCAGCCAGACATCCCCCAGTGCACATGTGCTGACTTGATGTGCAGCCCTGTAACCATGGCAGAGTCAATGCAACAGCCTTTTCCTTCAGTGGAGATATTATATTGTCTTTTTCACCTTAACCAGCCACTGATACCCACTTAACTATTTTTGCCATTCTAACCTTCAGTCACATGTCCTGCAAACATATCACAATATCTAAATGCTTTTGGGAAGGATGACAGAATAGGTTTGTGCAAGCATTCTATCTATCTTTTCTCACAGTAAAGGAAGCCAAAAAATAGTTTCTAACCTGAGGAGTTGCATATGTGATTTTGGAAACACAAGTCAAACATAACTAAGAGCTGCAATTCCTATTCCCAGCACAATCTCTCTTACAGGAACAATGTGACAAAAACACATGGCATATTGCCTCCTCCTCAACATCACACACACATTACATTCTGCCCTCCCCAACTAAAATTCCTCTGGGGATTCTGTGAGAGAAATAATTATTATTATCTTAAGTTTGCAAAAACAGGAAGATCTACCCTTGGTCTGACGGGGGGGGTCCACAAGAAACAATAATATGCAGATTATACACTTCTTAAACTATGTAAAGTAGCAGTAGCGTTACTACTGCCACGGTCATTCCATGAGACAAGCATGACAGGGTTCACAAAGACAGAAAATAATGTTATTATACCAACACCTGATGACAAAGAGCAAAAAGCATCTTTCTCCCCACCTCCCAGTTCTATCAGTTGTCCTACCAAAAGGCATTAGCCCATCATATGGAACTAACACATCAAAAAGAATGTTTTCTTGTAAAAACTCAAAATGTTCAAAACTCTGTCTATACAGATCACATTCTTGACCCTGCTTTGACATTACAAAGCAAACAAAAAGCCAGAGAGCATTTTCAGATAAGGATTCCCTGACATGGGTTTCCCTTGCACTGACCTACAACATCTTTGCCACAAGCTCTAATATCCGCCAACTTCAACAATCCTGACCTTACAGCCTCATTTCCAGCAGCTGCACAGTTTAAAGCAGGATTTGATAGAGGACTTCAGCACGTGAAAACACACTCACACGAGATGATGTACATTCTTTAATGAGTGTAAATTAACACTCCCTGTCATTCACAATAAATATACCTACTAAGGCTTTAACTTTTATATTTATCATGTACAAGCCTTGACACAGCACTACAACTTAGAGTTTTTCTCTATAATAGGACAATCAGACCATAGCCATACAGACAGACCACAGCCCACCAAACTTCCCCTTCAGAACCCCTGCATGGCCACATTAATCATAATGGGACAGGGGAATCCACTGGTGACAGTGACTTGTCTGCTTCTCTCCAAGACTGCAGTAAAGAACCAAGGTTAAAGATGCACTGCCTCACAGAGCTGAAAGAATAGTTATTTGCAGGTAACACACATCAAAACCCTAAATATAAGCGATTCACGAAGTGCAGAGCATGGAGAACTCTGAGTTCCCGAAGAATTTGCAGTTAAAACCTAATGAAAAGAGAACGTTATTACATTGTTATCAGTTGGAGATGGGTGACCACTTCTCCAAGTATTCACAATCCCATAATGCTATTGCATGAATTCTGCTGACCTGGTCAAATTGCAACTTTGGTTCCAAGTTCCATTACCTAAAGTCCCTCCATCTACAGGAACACCATAATTCTGGAAACTGAACATAATTTCATTTTTACTGAGAGAAATTATATTGCTCCAGCCTTCTGTTAACACCTTTCATTTATGCGGTGATGTGCATAGTTCAAGTCAAATGCATAGTTTGACACTGACATCATAAATGCTTCTTTATTAAGCCCTGTGAGAACAGTTGCAGCTACCTGGAGGGTGAAATAGTATGATTAAGCAACATACAACAACAATATATAGCCATTTAACTGATTTACTTGTTTTCTAGGAGTGCTGAGGGCAGTGAGGTTACCTGGAATGTGAGTGCAGGGCTTGATGTGTAGCTTTTATAGAGGCATTTCTTAATAACTTGCTATTCTTATAATCTCAATAAAAATCTCAAATTGTAACAAATAAAGTAGCATTCTGGGTAAAATAATATTATAAAACATGTTCCTTTGAAAGTTTCCTTTTCCATGTAACTTGTTTTAGGATTTATTTTTAACAAGGGGATTTTATACCTTGACTGATAAAGGTCAAGGGTTCAAGAAACTCGGTCAAAGATGTTATCATCTGGGAAAGCCATTTCCTCACATCAACACTGATAAAAATCCATCAGAAACCCGGCTGATACCACCTCTTCTCTAGAGAGCAGGAATGACCTTCTGAACATCACTGTAGTTGCACATCCCATCAAAGAAAATCTGATCTTGTGTCTCAATTCTTTCAATGACAGATAATTGTCTGCAGAGGCCCCCTTTGCCCAATGCTGAGTGAAGCCTTCACATTTCTGAACTGGACTCAACACTGACTCAGTGTTTTTCAGCACACATGGGACTGCAGGACAGTAGAATAAATAAACAATGCAACCAGCCCTACAGCCTGTCTTATCTCATCCTTGTGTTCACAGAGATTCTTGAGGGTGGTAATGTTTACAAACTGTTGAAACTTTCTTTCTTCTGCTTCCTGAGCTGGCAAAAACATATCCTGGACAACCTAAGCAATGAGATTATGCAAACTGCTTATCACTTGTGGGAAGCAACTCCTTGTCTCATTGGCCAGCATATCACTTTAATAAGCAGTATTGTTAATATTTTCAGTAAATCTTACTAAATTCACCTTACAGATCTATTAATGTACTTAAATCCTTTCCTTGTAAATCCCAAATGGCACTGGTCTTAAAAACAAACACACAACCCACCTCTCAAAAAAGCCCAAAGCTATACACATATATATATAGAGAGAGAGAGAGAATCTATATATATCTAGATATATCTCAGATGCCAATCCAGCCTTCTATGTTAAATATAGTTATTTAGGAAACTAAACTCTTTGATTTCCTCCTGGCACAGCAGCAGAACTAATCTAATGCTCTACTGACATATCAGGCAGCAGCCATCAGAGCATCTTCTCTCAATATGTAAGAAAGGAAGGTATCAAGGTTAGATTTTAAGAGACCAACACCCTATTCCCTCTCATTTCCACTGACAAAATACATCAGTGAGATGGGACTGAATAGATAACCAAGCCTTTCTATTCACCCAGAAAATACAATCAAAATTAGATACCTAACAAATCTAAACTAGGTTTTTTAAGAGGATTACAGTAATATTTTTTTCTTAGACACACAGCAAAAGAAAGTCCGTTTTAACATCCATAGGTCACTACCCTGCTGAACTGTGTGTGTCCTGGGTGAATACCATGACATACTTACAACCAAGCAAGTAAAAGCAACATCTAAACATTCCAAACCCCACACCAGTATATTTCCAATCTTCTAAAGCTAGATTTTTCCTTCCTTCAATACAGACCTCTTGAGGAGCCAGACTTAAGGTTAGAAACACTGTATAGTTGGAGACATGAAGCCTAGGCTTCTGTCAAACAAATTAGCCATCAGTCTGAACTAAAGTGGCACTTGGGACAGTTTGCCTCTTGGTTCTACTTTATTGGGTCAACAAGTCAGATTTTTCACTCTGAGATTTAATTTACTCACCACCAGTTTAAATAGGATAAGCTTCTGAATCTTTACCAACCACTCCTACTTTAACATAGCAGTCATCTCTAAAAAAATCAATAACTAATACAGAGAGTAAAGTCTGTAAGCAGTGCTAAAATTTCGTTCTGTATCTTCCCTGTTATTTTTGTAATTTTATTTTGCTTTCAGTGCAGAAAGTATTCTGATGAAATTCTATAAAACTAGAACTTGGTGCCTTTTAACGGGGTGAGGGAAAAGAAGCTGAAATCTATTAAGCCATGTTAATTTAACATGTTGTAATTCCTCTGTCATAAAAAAAGCTAGTAATTGCTTACAAAACACTGTTCATTTCTTCTTTACTTTTAAAATACAATCAAATGCACCCATTTTCATTGATACAATGGAAACAGACAGTATGTTTTAAGTTATCACCCAGTAATTTGGGCACATTAAACCCAATTCTCTGCCTTTTGTTTATTAATCCACTATGCCAGATATCACAGTTTCACTCAGCAACCCGCATGTTTTGGATGATATTGAAAAATGAGTCATGTTTGTCAAAGAAAGTTTTTTTTAAAAA